GGCGTATAATCCATCGTCCTGGTTTTAAGATAACTAAGAAAAACACGAAGTTTCGGAAACTGGATCTGTTGCCGTCCTCAGGTGAGGGAAAACACCTATTCTGTTGGGTGCCTTAGAAAGAGCTAGCCTCAATCAATGATCCAGTTTCCGAAACGTCGTGTTTTTCTTAGTTATCTTAAAACCAGGACGATGGATAAAGTCTGAAAACCCAAAATACAGTGAACCCTCGCTAATTCGGACAGCTGACCTTGATAATCACACTGTCACGTGTAGCGCTAGCACAGATGGCGGTAGAGACGTGTAGGCCGCCCGCCAAACATTATGGCCATTTTGAAAGAGTCACAGTCAAAGCATTCAGGATCTAGAAAATCGGCCGCGATAGTGTGGATAGGCGGAGAGCTAACCTGAAACTTTCTACGTTTCGTGAACAGTGTGTGTTAGTATTTAGTAGGATTATATTTTATTTTAGTGTTAGTGTTTTACTAGTCATTTTGTCTGTTAAAAGTAAGAGCTAGAGGAAAATACAAGACTTCAACCCTCCAAAAAAATGGAAGTCTTAAACGAGATCATGGTGAATTTGATTTGCTTCATTCTCGTCCGTCACACTAACAATACCATAAAAGCTAAAACAATTCCGTCCAGTGTGACCGACACCAGTTACACTGGACGGAACTGTTTTAGCTTTTATGGATCATTGTGTTTCAATTCAGGGTGCAATGACTCAGTATGGTGTAACTCTAACCCACAATACACAACAAATATTGCCCAATGCTGAGGGATATAAGGCAGAATGGAGTAAAAGAAGAGCACAGGAGAGGAACACAAACCACAAAAGTTCATTTTTCTTGCACACGGTCTCAATAGTACTAATTATGTAGGCTACTTGAAACGTTTTCAAGACTGATGTCAACACTTACATTTCTACATTTTATGACAAGTAAATTTATTTTATTTCATGATATGCAATGAAAATTCAGAAATAAAGTTGTATTGCCTAAAATAAGCCACAAGTCCATTTTGTAACTTCCCTGGACATATTTTCATTGGCATTTCTATAATTCGGACTTCTGTATTTCTGATTATTCACGTTACCATCCCCGCTACATAACCCCTACACATGAAACAAAGTCGTTTAATACGACCTACAAATGCAATTCATACCTCCCTCTCACGTACATTCTACTCACGTGTTGTAACAGAACAAGAACTACATGAGATGAGTAGTTCATACGTCATCAAATGGTCACCATTCGTCCAGCATTGCCACAAGCTGCAACACTATCACAGAACGAAGACCCATTCTTGTGCAATGGGGGCATGGGGAACAGACAATGACTACGGAACTTCCATCCAGCTGAGTCAAACGCGTCCAATTACCACCCCCCCAAAAAACTGTGTAAATTAACTTGTTTTCTACTGTATCCTGTACCCACCCCCCTGCAAAGTATTCCTGTAACATTATTGAACATATAAAAACGGCCAGTGGGATATATGATTTGGCAAAGTGCCAGGGCTATTCATTGCGACGTGAGACTGCGTCATTTCGAATTCAACTCCAAAACCAGGGGGCGGGGCGGTGCAGCGGCCTCTCTAGACTAGCACTCGGTTGGGCCACACACTAGCCTCATGTTTCTCGTACCTTCCACGCAAATTCTGGGATATAACCTCAAATAGGCCACCACCATTTCCCTTCAAATTCTTTCTAGTTCATCCATCATTCACCACCATCCTATTACCCGACGCTAATGACGGCATCGTTAAACAATAAAAAACACGCTTCTCGACAGTCTACAAAACTGAATTGGGACCAATTATTTTTCTTACTTAATCCGTTCCTCTTATACCCTTATACTGTCGAGGTTTCTTCTTTTTTTTTTCGTTTTGATCATTTTACAGACGGTAGAACTCCTTGGACAAGTGAACAGCCCGTCGCAAGGCCTCTACCTAAACAAAGGACAACACAAACACATACACATACCAAACATCCATGACTTGTGTGGGATTCGAACCCAAGATCCCGGCTTCCGAGCGAGCGAAGACAGTAAATGTCTCAGACCGCTAGGCTACCGTGACCGGCCCAATTCTTTTCGAATACAGTTTAATATTGTGACATGACGGCTGAGAACCGGAATAGTGGAATCGGAGCGGACGTCCATTACTGAGCAACGACTCGGTAATCACGTTCCCGCTGCAACGAATGGCATTGAAGGAGTCGTTGCTAGGTATCAGACAGCTAAACAAAGACATTCCAATGACAACGGAAGGAATTAAACTTTGGACATGATGATTTCTATTCGAGCCGCGTGGCAGATAGACAAGGGAGTTCATTCGCGAATTCGGCAGATCAGTCCGAGATCAGTTGGAGACACGTGAGAGATTGGTCAGACAGATGTCGCTCAGAAGGGGTTCAATGTGTGAGTTGTTATAATTGGCTGTAATTGTAAAAACAAGTGCCACTAAACCCAATCATCAGACCCAGAAACCATTGTTATTAGTCACGCTAACCCATTATACGTGACAATAATGATGTCTTCTGGGATGAGCCGCTGTCTAATCTGGTAAACAGTTTCTTGACGTTTCGGAGGCTCGGGCTGCCTCCCTCTTCAGGGCAGGAAAATAATTTTTAGATACTTCGGTAAACCTCTACCGCTGTGTACGACGTCACATCATAAAATACAGTAGTAATTACAGTCGTAGTACTGAGAAAGACAAATATGTGTTTTACGCTTTTAGAACACGTCACCAAGGTGAATGAAAACAAAATTCGGATCATGCCTAACTTCAGTAATATGTACATGGTAAGTTTCACGTTCCGACCGATGTATCTACCATACTAAATGGCTGACACATTCAATCTGTGTGTCTGCGAACAGAAAAATCATACTGTTATCTTGGATCGAACCTCGGTCATCCAGCCTGCATCGTCTACCGTACAGATCCACATATCCAGCTGAAAGAATTGCCTCTGTACACTGAATTAGCTTCGTTACCAAAACATTTCATTTTCGTACTAACAAGCGCTCTCTCTCCTTGAGTAATATGATTCTTGAAAAATTTCGCGTAAGGCGAAATCGCTTTAATCTGACGTGAATTTGCCATAAGAAATAACGTAAAGCAATAGAGAAACCGTGTAAAACTGAAGAACCTGTCGTGGTAGCCGAAAACCAGACATATCTAAGAGTAGCGTTAAACAGAGTTCATACTGGTAGAACGCGTGTTGCCCGTGCCACAGGGCAGGCGCTAATTCGGCGGCGTCCCACCGGAGCGCCCCGGTCAGGCAGTGTGGTATTTGTGGTCGACGAAGCGGCAATGAGGTGAGATTTCAAACAGTAATTCCGGTTCAACTCTCCCAATTTTTATTTCAGCAAAATCTCCACATTCAGTAATCATCCTACCACCGACTATATATACACGTAGTATAGATAATGATAGCGTCGTTAAATAAACAACTTTAAAAAATTAGGGATAAAAGAATTCGTGTTGGTCGGGCACTGAGTGTACTTCAAAGTGAGGCTTCTTTTTTAATTTGCTTAGTGGGGGGTGGAGTCCAACTGGGTCCACTCAGCACAGCAGCCACTGATTGNCTCCTGTAGCCTGTCCCGGGTGATTATGATGATGGAGAATTTGGTGAAATGAAGATTGGCTGGGGAAACGGAATTACTCGGAGAAAACCCACCCCAGCGCCACTTTGTCCACCACAAATCCCACTTGACCAGACCCGGGATGGAACCCGGGCCGCCGCGGTGGGAAGCCAGCGACTAACCGCTTGAGCTACGACGCGGCCTCAAAGTGAGGTAAGTTCCCTATCCATAAAGAGGAACTTCTGGGTCTTCTTCGCTGAACATCAGTGCGAGCAAATAGGAGAGGGGACATGAAGCACGCAGGGCACAGACAACAAATACATACAGAATTTTTGCTGCATCCTACAAGCCGGAATGTTGTGGGTTCCATTCCCGATGAGATCATTGGATTTTTCAATTGACCTAATCTTTCCAGCCGCACTATGGCCCTGGGGTTGACTCAGCCTCTAACAGAAATGAGTACCAGGAATCTTGAGGGCGGGCGGAGCGTAAGGTGAGCCTCGACGTCTCACAAGCCTATGGGCCTCCACGGCCTGTTACAGGGATAGAGCTTTACCTTTCTTACATCTGAGCGTAGGACTACTTTGAGGAAGGGACGACATTGTCATTTTTTATTTATTTTATTATTTGCTTTTTATTTACTGTTTTCTTGCTTCTTATGTATTTTGAGGTTCTGTGATTCTTTAATTACTGCTAACTGTTTATGTTCTTCCATTTATTTTGTCCTGCAAATATTTCGTATGTATGTAATAATGTAAAAGGTAAGAACAGGTACACCTTTCCCTGTGCTTAACTAATTAAGCATTACGCCATGAAGACACATCGGTGACTGGATGTACAGTTCCAGGCATTCTTCATTTCGGCTCTAGTAGAGGTGTTAACTTTCACACACCCCTGCCGCTTTAGCCCAAGAGAAAGAGCCCACCGGTACCCTTTGGATAGAAGCCTGGGTAGGCCCAAGAATCGGCCTGAACGACGTAGTGATGAAAAATCTTGCCATTACAGGGACTAGAACACGGACCCTCGGGTGTCCAGAGCGTAGCCAGTCTCTATACCAACTGCGCTAACCCGGCTCTTCAATATCTCTGTTGATGTTTAAATGATTTCAGAACAATTTTGGTTTCTGTCGTTATTCTGTTTGTCGTAAACGTCGTTTTGAATGGGTGATTTTCGAAAATCAACAAACTACAAAGTAAATATCTTCCTGCTAAAATACAATGGAAAGTTATTATTAAAAAGTGTCCCAAGAAAACAGGTTACTAGAATACAGGTTAGTATCAGCTGGCTCATAAGAGAGCCTAGTGGTTTGTGATTATGGTAATGACAGGGAGCCAGTAATTTCTTGATGAGCTCTTGATCAATGTATGAAGAGCTCTCTCTTTCATTGTGTTATCTGGTATAGAAATTGTATCCACTTACCGACTTCTTTCAGGCGTGTCTAAATCTGGAACTGTTCTGGGCCCCTTCACCTGAGAAGAAGAGATATTAAATTAATTTTCTGGTAATTTGGGACCACTTTACCTGGGGGATAGAAATAAACATCATATATATTTAATCACTGTATGTAGTTTTGACAAATTCAGCAATATTTTGGCATTTCTCGCAGCACATGGATTCATCAATACCATCTTCATCTTCACCTGGTTACCGTATGTACTGCCTGCTTCAACATAAACGCTGTATTTTGCCCACACAGTGTGCTTATTTGTCTCGTAATTCTGAAAATAAACAGCGATTTCTCATTTGCAGCATTAACCATCTAAAGAATAGATTTCTTCCAAATCTTTCCATCTATGGCTCTATAGCCCTTTGTTGGGCCTTCGCCGCTTTTCAGTTTCTTAACCCTATACAGAGTCGGCAGGACTCCTTGGACGGGGGACCAGCCAGTCGCAAGTTCGATACGCACACATGACAACACAAACACAGAATAGACGCGACATGCATGTCTTGAGTGAGATTCGAACCCATGATGTAACTGTTGGAGCGAACGAAGACATTTCAATCCGTAGACCGCTCGGCCACTGTGACTGGCAGATTTCTTCCAACCAGTACATAAAAACCCATTTCGTACCTCACAGGAAACACATTACTTCACTACGAAGAACAACCGGTTACATTTGAGAGCCATGCGAAAACACACAAATACTCTCTGCGGGCAGAATGCAGAGTTGTATGTCATAGCAGGCGGTGCATGTAAGAACCGCGGGGTTTTAGAGGGTTAAACGTTTGTAATGGAGATTCAACGCGTTTTCTGTAAGGTCCAAACTGAATTCCTAAGTAGTATGGGATGAAATTATTTACTGACCTTCATTCGATTGCCATTTTATGTTTTTGGCTCAGTTTTGTCGCAATCAAAGTGCTACCCCAACACCACAAGAGCCAATCCAGCTGCAGCGTAGCAGAAGGACCCGGCCAGCCGCACATTGGGGTCACGGGGCCGATTCCTGCTCGGGACAGATGCTTGTCTGCGTGATTTTGTATTGTCCTCGAATACATTGTAATGGAAACCAGTGAAGGGTCCGTAAGTATTATTAGTGTCAGCGTTAACTGGGACATAGCAGAGAACCTACGAGCGGAAGACGATAACCAGACGCTCTGTGGAACTTGTATTAACGGCAAGAAAATGCAGTACAGTCATACCTCGACCTAGTATTTACAGGCTTACAAATATCCGGGCATTTCGATCCCATTACGTCAACACCCATCCGGCACGCTCCGAATTTTCACATGTAACGACTCTCTCTAATGTCCTGGTGGCTAGAAGCGTAACCATTAATGGTTCATGGTAAGATACTACTTAACTTATTCTTAATATGTATAATAGCCTGAATGTTTATTTGATGTCCCTTAAAATCAATACAAATATAGCATACTACGGGTTACAATACTGGTTACGGGCTCGACAACCGAGGGGTCGAAGTACGAGTACTTAAGTGCAAGATTCCTCTATTCCTCGCGTCGTTTAGACAGGCTCTCCCCCCCCCCCCAGCCTCTTATCCAATGGGAACCGGATAGCTCTTTCCACGGAGGTAAAGCGGCCAGGGCGTGAAGCTGACCACAGACCTCCGACTAGTTGCAAGGTCAAGAAAGTGTGGGTCTATACATTCAGTCCCCCATACGCCTTCATGGTGTAGTGCTTGATTAGTTAAGCACTAAGAAAACTTTACGGGTTTTAATCAGGAGTAATTCGGAGGTCATCCGGATGAAACTGTCAAGTTTTGTCTGAACAGACAAATGACATCTGCCTTCCTAAATGCAACGTGTCTTTCAAAGTATTTACTCAACTGTGAGGAGTATCCTTAACATTTCGATCCGAATTAATTGTAACCGGATTAGCGAGGGTTTACTGTACTGAAAAATGGGACTGAGCATTGCGCTTCCGGATTGGTAACCCTTTACGTCCCATGTCATAATGGGCATTATTTTTGCACTTCTAGAACGCATTGACTCTTAAGTCCAAGGTATGAATGTACTGTTGGGAGTGCATTTTCACTGATTCTTGAAAGTGCAATTCCCAGCTTTTAATCCTTTCATACAATACCTGCATTTTGCTCGCAACAGGTAAGGTAGCCTATAAAGATGGGCAGAGCATGTTGATCAAAACGACTGCATCCACCTCCGAGACTACACATCATCAGAAGGCCGCAGTAAGCCCCAACAGATACTAAAGAGAATATCAAAGTTTCCAGCTTTAAACTTCGAAATTCACACACAAACTGTTTTACGGCTTGCACAGCGGACATTATGTACCATGGCATATTGACCCAATGCCAAGTAACAGCTGTGTAAACAGGCTAGAGCACAGCAGCCATTGCTAGGGAACAGCTCTGGGAACACGTTTCCCTGGAAACGGGAGAACAAGCAATAACGGTAAGGGTGTTTTCTGTGTGGTCGGTGCCGAGGCTATATAATGAGGGCAGGCGGAGGCGGGGTCGAACACGTCCACCGTGACCCTGCGAGTTGTAGGAGGCGATAAAAAGGGAAGTCTCAAATTTGAGACTGTATATATGGTCTTGAGTCCCAAGGAACTAGGATTCGAGAAAAACTGCGCTCGCAAGAGCCAGCAGCATATACAAAAGACAGACCCGTCCCCTCGTCAGAGTGGGCGCCCCACAATAACAAGACCTAACTGTCAAACAGTAATAAATATCTGGTCATGAACACCAGACGGGGCTCGACACCAAGACTTACTGACAGACTGACTGACTGACCGTCAGTCGCAATGTGACTATGACTAGGACTATGTCATTACGACAGAATTCCCAGTCGGCAGTTAGAAGAGTAGGAAGATGGTATGAGATGACCGCCAGCCTGCGAGGACGTGAGCCCGACAGCAGAGGATCGTCCACTGTTGGAAGACGCTACCAAGTGGAGCCGCTGGGAACATCAGTCTGTGTGTGAAAAGGATTCGTGTAGTCAGCAGATGTGTGTTGAGGTGTGTAATAAATCCCATTATCAATCCAAACCCTATCTATAGTCACTTATCACGTGACAGTACGTTGACGGCCGCGCTAGATGAACAGGAGTACACTCGATGTCTGGGCTGAGAGGATTAGTATGCTGTACCTCGTGAGGAACGCGCCATCCTCTCTCTTAGGAAGGAGAACGCAAGTACGGGGCAACTTCTGACGAACTGTATAAAATAATTAACTAATTACAGAGAACGTTCTCGAAGAAGATAGCCCGCGACTGAACATGGTCAGAGACAGCTAAACTGAGGTCACATGCTCATAAAACACGTCCATTTCCATGGTCATTTGAAGTACGTCATAGAAAACCACTGATTAAAGGTTCGGCCACACCGAGCGCTACGCTATGTTCGCTTTGTACGCTACGTACGCTGTGTACACTCTGCGACGCAGCTAACATAGGGAACATGGCGTACGTGGCGTACGGAAGTCTGTGTGGCCAGTCACATTGGCAATAAAGGGAGATATTTTTCTGTTCGTATAACGAACATAGCGTACGTAGCGCTCTGTGTGGCCGAACCCTTAAACGGAACTGGTTCCATACAGCCACACGAATGATCAGTAGTTTGCCAAGATGGGACACAAAAGCTCGTAAAGTTATCCCTATAACGGGCCGTACAGGCCCACAGGGTAGTGAGACGTCGAGGCTGCCACATTTTCTAGACAATCGGCTCATAGATGGCGGTGACGTCAGCCTACTTGCCAGTCGCCCTTTAACCACAGGAAGATTCCTCCTAGACGCTGAGCCCACCCCAGGGCCATAGTGCGGATGTCAATTGAAAAATGCAATGAACTCATCGGGAATGGAACTAGCGACCTTCCGGCTTGTAGCACAGTGCCTCAACCAACTACGCTACCGCTCACAGAAAATGAATTTAAAATAAATTACTCGATCATACTAGGAACCGAGATAGTGCAGTCGGTATAGCGACCGGCTACGGGCTCGACCACCGAGGGGTCGGAGTTCGAGTCCCAGTAGGGTCAAGAACGTTCTCTTCTCCAAGTCATTCAGACCGGTTCTGAGGTCCACCAAACCTCCTATCCAATGGAAACCAGGGACTTTTCCCGGGGGGTAAAGCGGGAGGGGCGTGAAGCTGACCACTCACCTCCAGCCAGTGTTTCAAGGAAATGTGGATCTATCCATCCAGTCCCCCCTACGCCTTCATGGCATAATTCTTCATTCGTTATGCACAGAGACAAGTTTTTTAACTCAAATCATACTGCAAAACTTGGTACAGTATTTCTCACCGGGACTGGCGGCGCCCACAATACACATTTGGACCATCGTATGGTTTGTTACCTTGATTCCTCGCCTGTCCTTTACCTCCTTCTGTACCTAAGTACATGATATTCATGCAAAACTCTGCAGCCAATTCAAATGAACAGAACTATAGCAGTCAACGCTCAAAACTAATTACTGAAGTCTTATACACGTTAGTTTACAGAATTCTAAACTGTATAACGTGCAAGTACGCCCTCCAATGTGCCCTAGCTCAGTGCACCGGGGGCTCTGTGCCAAAGATGTAGAAGAGAAGGTGGGGGGTGTCAAGGGGCGTTATCTCTGGAAGCAGAGCAGCGAAAGAAGAAACACGAGGATAATGGAAGAGAATACTTGCGCTATCGTTCGTTATGGGTATTGGATTGCAATGCTACCAAAATTATCATTCGTAAGCACAAAACAACTCCCCCAGCTCAAAACTAAAAACTATTTTGCAATGGAAATATTATGAAGTACCACATGGGGAGAATTTGGCTGAAGAGTGCATCAAGTTATGGTATACATTACCATATAACCAAGTTGTCAAAACAATGAGATTACCTACAAGTTCAGAAAGTCACCAAAGTGACGGGAATACAGGAAAGAATATATTCAAGGGAAATGTGCTTCGATAATCTAATTTTGGAACAGGTTATAACCACAGTTGCGGGATAATGAGATATGCTTTCTCATAAAAATGGTCTCATGCAGCACCGGGAACTTCTGCAAGCGAACACGTGTT